TATGAGCTTGGCCAAACACATTCGCATCTCTTGCTGGGCAAACCTCTGGCCAATACAAAGTCTGGGTCCGCCACCAAAGGGTATGTAAGCGTACGGATGGTGTACTGGGTTTAGGAAACGGTCGGGTATGAAGTCGTTAGGGTTAGGCCACAGGTCTGCCTGTCTGTGCAAAGCGTACGGCAAGATCTCAATTGTTGCCCCTTTTGGGATTGTAATACCTATTGTAGTAATCGTAGAAAAATGTTTCAATTGACACATTTAATGTACATTATTTTAAAATTTAAAAGTACCGGTATTTCCGAGTTTATAGTCCTGAAGGCATTCCCGTTGAACACGTGTTAGTGAAGGCGCGAGACGTAGTGTTTCACTGAGAACTGCGTTCAAGTATTTCAATTGCGATAACTTTTCGTACGTAAACTCATTGCAAGTTCGCAACTCTTCGTATAGTATTTGCTGACAGTCTTTGTGTTCAGACAAGTAGTATATGGCGTGTGTTATGGCGGCGCTGGTAGTGTCGTAACCGGCGATGAAAAACAGCAAACCCTGAGCTACCATCTCATCTGGTGTTAGGGTTCCCACAACTTTCTTTGGCAACTGTCCACCGATGGACTCGTCGTCCACTTCCGGTTCACTACCGGAATAATAACCCGACTCTTTGTCCGACTTTTCTGAGTCTATCATTAATTGTATGAAATCTGTGCGCCGTTTAGCTTTAGATATCAACAAAAATTAAATAAAAATTAAATGTTTACATTATTACTGTTTATATTACTTACATTTATCAGTGTTAACATATTTATTGTTGCTCTTTCTTTCACTTAATATTTGCTTGGTTAGTTGATCAAAATAGCCAGCCGCTTTTATATCAAATGGCTCTAGCTTAAAAAATCTGGCAATACTCGGAGCCAATACAGACAATGCAATGCCTATACCCGCGTCGGCGTTCAATATCTTTGACGCGTTTGTGACCACCGGATGGTTGGGATTATCAATAGACTTGACAT